GAGATGGTAGAAAATAACTATATTCGACACTATATTGATATTTAAAAAGGAAAATCGATCTTTAAACTTTGAGATATATGTACTAGAAATAGGTTTTTAATTAAATATATTAGGAAAACTATAAAGGTAAAATTTTTTTTTCGATATATCGAATTACAATATTGTCGTTATAAAATTGAGCTTTACATTTGTATATATCATAACGAAAAATAATACATCTGTAATCCCATCTGTTGACCAATCTCTGTGTGTGTTTTTTTCTTTTTGTGTCTCCAATTTGTCATAGTCAGCGAAGTGTGTAAGCTTAATTTAAGCATTTCTTTCGGCCTATTACCTCACCATCGAACTCTCCTCTTTTCGATCTTCGTCCGATCAGCGCTTTCTCATGCAAATATATTCACATATATGTATATAGATGTCGATCCGATCGGGTGGCTTTATTAATAAACTTAAGCATTTTACGACCAATTTGGAGATGGTCTTTGATGCGGCTTTTATGCATTATGCAAAGTGATTCCCATTCTGAATCCGAGCCATAAAAATTCCGATTTTGTAAGCGAGACACAGTCTGTGTCAAATATAATTGCACTTGGTTTTAATTTTGGATTTTTGCTTCTTTTGTTGGCCAAAAAACAAAACAATAACAACAAAAAAAGAAATAACAGACACAGAAATGAACAAAAACAGTAAGAAAAAAAATCCATTGCAATTGCAGTTGAACAACTTTACGCTCCATTCAGCATTAAAATTACTTTGTGCCACTTTCAAAGCTATTTCTACTGCCACAAAAGCAACAGCTTCTTCTGCCGCTTCTTCGCCCCCCTTCTCCTCCACCTCCTTGCCAGCCTGTTGATTGTTTTTTTGTTTTATTATTACTTTTTTCCGCCGATTTGCAACCATTCGGACTGCCTCCTATGCATTTTTATGGTTTTTTTTTCTTTCTTGTTGGCAATGGTCAAATGGAACACTGAAACAGGTGGGATTAGGCCACAGGTGACGGGAACCAGAGGGGTTTTCTTCTGGGGTAATTCCGCAAAAGTCACGAATGTCACGCATCAAATGGGACAGAAGGAAAAAAAGGTGAAAAATAAAAAGAGTATAAAAAAAAGTGAGAAAAGATTAAAAGTTAAAAGAATTAAGGAATGCAATGGCATGGAACCCACGGGAATGGGATAACGGTTAACTGAGCAGGAACATTTGAAAAAGGGATTTCTTTAGGGATATATTTTGCATGTTTTTAATAACTGAGTAAAAAAACCAAGATTTTCAATGATATTTGCGATAAACTATATTAATTTGTTTAGGAATTCAAAAGAATTGTGATTATCAGAAATGCTGGTAACAAAATTGCTGAGGATCCAAGCGGGGAATGTCATGGAATGAAACGGAAATGAGAACAAATGGGAAAGGACTTTTTAAGGATACTGTATATTTCTTTTGAATAAATTTAGGAAAAATGTTTGTAATAATTAGAACAATCCTACGATTGCCCGTGTTTATTGTATCTATATAGGAAAGTAATTCCAGGAATTAAGTTTCAGATTTACTGATAATTGTGTGGTAATAGTGATAATTGTAAAGGAAACCCATACTAAGTATGATAGAAATACGTTTTACCGTATATTTTACTATTTATCCAATTTTAAACAAAGTTTTCACAATTTTCGATATGATATTGAAATCGATATCCCTTTCGATATATCATTTTGAACAATGTCTCTATAAATAGTAATCTTTTATTGATATTTCTATTTTGTCCATTTAAATTCATGGCAAAAATTAGCTGCATTGTTTTGTTGGCCAGCAATTCAGCGCGAACAATGCCAATAACTAATTTCCATGGCATATATATAATATATATCTATATACACATATATATTCTCCTCCATTAACACCATCGGCTGGCTACCTGCCGCCTCACCAGACTCAGCTTGTAGTTTACTGAGCTTTGGCACGTCAACGTCCATGGTGTTGTTGGAATAAAATCGAAAACACTTTCAATATAATTGCAAAAAAAAACATATTTGAAATCATTTTCGTTTCAAGCGCTTTCCTTTCTTGGCTTTCTGGAAGGGGAGGGGAAACTCGGGGTGATCTGCGTATGCCCCGGGAATTTTAATCATATTTCTCTCTTTTTTTCTGTACATGCTTAATTGTTATTTGTTTTTGTCGGTCTGTCGGTTTTTATTTCGCATTTTCTCATTCGGCGGCAATGCCACCAATTTGGTTTCCACTTCGATTCGATTAACAAAGCTTGATGGGGAGAAGGATCCAAGCTGAACTGGGCAATACCCTTGGATTTATCGCATTTGGATTTATTTTTCAATATTTTCTGGCATACCTACTTTTGATATTTTAATGGCATATAATTATTTCTGTGTCCCTTTAATAAATATTTTATTAGAGCGACTTTTTACTATTATTTTGCCTTTTTTGCTTAGCTTCAGGTACCTTTAACTATTGGCTGTAAAGATGGTAATATTACCTTGAAATTACATTTTTATACCCTTGCAGGGTATTATAAAATTTAGTCAGAAGCTTGTGACGCTATGAAGTTGTCATTTGCGACCCATAAATTATATATACTCTTGATCAGCTTTAACAGCCGAGTGCTTATAGCTAGAGATAACACTGCGTATACGTGATATAGCTATCAACTTATAGCGCATACGCACTGTTGCCTTGATTTTTTTTTTACCTTTCCAGGTAAAATTTAAGTTTAAATTCTCTTCGAATCTATAAAACAATTGTACAAGGGTACATAAACTTCGACTTCCCAAACTTATTTTCCTTTCTGGTTTTTAATGATTTTTCTCTCTTCCTTGCCTTGTTAAGTCGAAAATATTCCCATTATAGTTAGAGTATTTCTTTTATTGCCATTAATTTGCTTATTGTTGTTGTTGCTTTTTCTACTTGGCTTAATTTTGGGTTTTGGATTGTAAACATTATGATGTGATTGGCTTGGAAAGAAGGGGAGTGGGTAGAGGATAGTCTGGGGATTGGCTTGGATCGATTCCGGACTTGCTTTTTCCGCCAATTATATGATGGCCGAAATGGTTTCTTTTCTTGCTCGTTTTAAGTTGTTTGCAATTTTAACTTTTATATTCGACAAGGATTTGTTATTTAGGGATCAGCTAAAACTATGTGCGCTTTCACTTTTGGCCTGAGCAGGATCTTCTGTTGGCTTTTCTCCATTCGCTGGAGGACCACACCCAAGTTAGCTGGAGAAACACATAGCAGACCAAATACAGAGAGATGCCAGAGCATCTTTCTATCTTTTTGCTAGAGATCTATCTACCTGCCTCAGGTGTGGCCAATGCCTCGATCTCTCTTCACTCCCCATTCTTCTCCACATACATCTAATGCTGCCATTCACTCTAGCACAGAGCACATAAAAATAAAGAACCTCACAGAGCGGAGAAGAAAACATGAACACAAAAAAGGGGCAACAGCGACAAGAAGTTGCTCTAGGGAAGCTGTTTAATAAATATAATTTATAAAATTAAACTATAATTCAAAGGTTATATAAAAAACCTGTTAAAATCTATAGTATCTGAGACATATTGTAATACCAATTACTTTAAGACTCTTCTTCTAATCCAAAGAACCCCTAAAATGTAAGGGTATTCGTCTTTCCTGGCTTTCAATTAGCTTTCATGAAGTCACGTCAACTTGAGTGGGCCATAAAGTAACATATACATACTATATAGTGAGATAAGTGAAGTCAAATCAAGTCAAAAGCCATCACAAGAAAGACAAAAGACTGTCTCATGGAGAAGATCTTGGTCTTTGATGTCTAAATTGCCAGGCAAGAACCCCAAAAAAATCCCGAAAGCAGCAAAAACAAAAAAAAAACCTCTTGTGAGTCTTTTAGCGAATCCCATCGACATGTTTTTGAGCAATGACCTCAAGTTGCGGTTGACTGGAATTTTGGGAATGTTTCGAAAACAAAAGGCAACTGGGCTACGGGAATCTGAAATTTGGAAGACAGTTAAACGGAGATTCTGACCTTGTCTTGACCCTCTACGAATGTGTATTTAGAATATGTGATTTAAGGGCAATAAAGTATCAATCTATTGTTAAATTTGTTATAGACAAATTGTTAATATCTAAGAGTAACCCATTTAACATTAAGATAATGATATAATCCATATTGTCTTTTTTTTTCTATCATATTTGTGCAATGTATTGATATTATTGCATTTAAAAATCAGTTCAGAAAATTGGATTTTAATATCATAAAACATTAATTTCAATTCGGAATACTGACCTATGCTAGTTTTTATTAGATTAATAAATCTGCATACTCCATTTAAAATGATAAAAAATTTAATTTTTTAATACATTTTTGACATTTTTAACCCCTTAAGAAATGTTCAAAATTAAAAAAAATTACATTTTTGCGGTACATAGCTAGATTGATTCGCCTGTTGATGCTGATCAAGAATGTATATAGTTTATAGGGTCGAAAATGACTCCTTAACTTCGTTTTAATACCCCAAAAGGAATATATAAATATCCTTTAAGGGTTCTTTATTATATTTATCAGTTGAATTTCGATTCGATGTATCATTATTTTCTGACATTCCTAATCAAGAACCCATGCTTGAAACCGCCTCATGCCTCGGTTAATTATATATCTGTCGCTTTATTGTCTTTCGGCGCTTTTAAATGGAGATTGATGGCCGCCAACGCTGAAGTCGACGCCAAGCCAAGCCAAGAAGAAAGATCTCTTAAAGATCTCTGCTTGGTATGCTAATTACCAAATTCCTCAATCGATAACTAGACACACTTGATAGCCAACTATTTGAAAGCCAAGCTGTGGCTCTAGCTCTGGGTCTAGTCTTTGGGCCTGGTCTCTGTCTCTGGCATTGAGTTTGCGAGCTTTCGGACCCGTTCCGGCGACGGAGCCTGCTTAAAACTAGTCTTGCAGCCCATAACCACCAATATTTTAACTATAAATGGACTCTAAACGGGCCCAGTATTCACTATCAACTCACCTTTTTCTATGTTTCCAATTTTAAATTTATGCTTTGTGGACTAAAAAAAACAAAACAAAAACAATATATGAATTTGAAAACTTTGTTATATAAACCATAAAAAAAAATTATAAAAAATAAACACGCGGAATTAAGATAGGGATCTTGGTTTATATCTCAGTACATCTTGATATTTTTGAGTTTTCTTTAAGACTTTTCGAGATCGATTTCGGTTTAGGTTTCAATTTCGGTTTTGGTTTTAGTTTTGTTTTTCGGTTTAACAATTTTCGGTTTATTCGTTTTTTCGATTTTTAGTTTTGGTTTTGGTTTACCGATTTCACGCACAGTTTCGGCCTTAAGACAGAGAGGTGGCTTGTCTCTCTCTCTCTCTCTATTGATTCTTCTACTGTTTCTCGGTAGCTTTTCTCCGCTCTTTCTTCGAACTTGCGACTACGTTGCCTGAGCTCGAACCGAAGACTGGCTTGACTCGTAGTCGCAGAAACCGAAGTCTCGTATAAAACCCGAACGTGCCACAAGCCGAAGTGTTTTTGGTGATCGTGCGTGGCTTCGGGTTTCGAACAGGCGACAAAATGTCAAACGATCGTCGCTTTTTCACGGATCCTCCACTTGGAATTCGAGTTTCAGTGACTGGTTTTCTTAAAAGCTGTAACTTGGAGTCACTTGAAGCCTTTATTTAAAAGGTTTTCTTATTTATTTTTTAATTGTTGAAACATGTATACAAAAAGCAAAAAAGATTTTAAAAGCAATTCTTCTCTGGAAAGGGAGTATTTAATAATTACCTTTGGGAGAGAGTTCAGAAAGGTTTTTCATAACCTATTGAATTTTCTACCAAAAAATTAACCAAACAATCAGTTTGAAAAACAGTTGAAAAACTGTCAATAATACAGCTTAAGCTATTTAGATTCTTTGTCTTAGGAAGAAAATGCTTGAAGAATTCAAGAATAAGCACAGTCTTCCTGTTTATAGACCGACTCCCGTTGCAACATCATCTTTAATAACTCCTTTCTCTCTGTATTCCCTGCTCTCTATTTTCTTTCTTCTCAGCTATTAGCAATTTTCCATAGGCAGGCCACTTTAATTGGATTATTTGGGAAATTAAAGACTTGGAAAATGGAGCAGAAAATGGCCTGATGGAATGCGAAAGAAAATTGGGTATAAAACAAACGGGATTGGTAGCCAATATAGAATGGGAACAAAAAGCTATAACCGAAGCCTGACGGAAAACCTGCAAGGCAAGAAAAACTTTCTGCAAGGCGATAGAGGGGGAAAACTAAGAGCGGGCGAAAAGCGGGGCTCCAATTGCAATTGACCGAAAAACCTGTTGACGTTATTTAAGGAAAAACGCTCACAGTCATTCGAACAGAGAAGAAATATGCACTGGAAATAACAAGGGATACACAGTGCGACTCTTTGTGGATAGCATCCTCCCATGTTGTCCCACATTCTTCCTTTATTTTTCTTACAGTGCCTGGAAAAACCAATCTCTTTTTCCTCTGCCTTCAATCGATCGCTTGAGGAAGAGCTGAGTTACCATTTTGGTTTAGGCTCTTGAGGAAAAACGCAAAAACGCGAAATGCGAAACGAGTTTTTCCAGTAGAAGAGGAATCTGGGTTCATCCCCAGCTGCCTTTGGGGACAGAAGACAGAACAGAGGAGAATATCGCAGAATTGTTGTCAAGAATCTGGAGGCGAGAACCGAACCGATCAATAACCTTTTCGTCATGAAAAGCCACTCGAGGGCAACGACGATTAGCATCGAAACTAGCAAATACCATTGCATATTTTCTTATAGATAAATCCTCCCTCTTATCTTGAGAAATCTTACAAATATTTCGAAGAAATATCTCCTACTTCCTCTATCTTTCACGCACCAAAATGTCAGGAAAATGGTGAAAATCCATTGAGGATTCCGACTTCGAGGAGCCAAAGAAAGCATGAAATTGCTTGTAAATATCTTTCACCCATTGCAAAAGTTGTTTTGGCATTTTTTCGAACATGTTTAATTTGTTGTTTTCCTTTTTTTGTTTTGTTTTTTTACTTGTTTACATTTTTTTCGCAGGCACAACACACGTTGCCAAGTCTTAAAAAAAATAAACAGGTTTTTTTCAGCCAATATATTGTACAGTCGTTGCCAGCTTATTAGAATCACCATTAAGGTGGCTATATTTGTATCAATTAAAATGGTAATTTGAGTATAGAAACAGAAGATTATACACCCTTTGAGTTTGCAGATCGAGAGATCAAAATTAATCAAGAAAGGAAGCAATACATTATAGTTCATATATATTTATGTTAAAAAACAATGAAGAAATGGCTGCTTTCATTTTATTCACCGTTTTACATTTTCCTAAATTTTTAACGATCGTTTGTATGGCAGCTATACGATATAGTAGTCCGATTTTCATAAAATTTTACACAAAATTCTAGTCGAATATACTATGACTTATGTCAAATTTGATGAAAATGTATTGAAAACTGGAAAAGTTAGAATTATTTTTTTCCTTGGCAGCTATATAAATGTATATATATAGTCCACCGATTCGCCATGCTCCGACTTATATACTAGTAAAATTATATAGAAGAATAATTTCATAGTTTCATTCAAATTTGTTCCAAAACAAATCTCGCACATCTGTGCATATGATTCTCAACTGGTTCTAACATCCCCGGAACGAAGTGTCTTCTACCAGCCAAGTCTCGGATATGTGTTCTGTTACAAAAGTTGCAAGTCATTGTTTACAAGTGTTCAAAGTTAGTAACTGATCATACATACTTACTGCCCATAGATATTTACTTGTCATAGATACTTACTGATCATATTTAATAACTGGTCTTAGGTACTTACTGTTCAGAGTTACTTACTGCTCATAGTTAATTGCTGATCATAGTTAATTACTGGTCATAATTAATTACTGATCATAGTTCTATAAATCGTCTGACTGTTCCAATGTCAGATATATATATGTATATATATAGTCCAACAATTCGGCATGCTCCGATTTATAAACTCGTACAAATATATAGCAGATCAACTCCATAGTTTAATTCAAATAACTTGATCTTAAATTTGCCTCAAGACAAATCTCCCACATCTGTGCATATGATTCCCAACGGGTTCTCACATCCCCGGAACGAAGTGACTGCTGGCGGCCGAGTATCAGATATGTGTTGTGATACAAAAGTTGCAAGTCATTGTTTATTAGTGTTCAAAAATAAGTAAGTGATCAAACATAAATTCTGATCAAAATTACTTACTGGTCATAGATACTTAGTGTTCAGAGTTACTTGATGCTCATAGTTAATTACTGGTCATAGCTAATTACTGATCTTAGTTCTATAAATCGTCCGATTGTTCCTATGGCAGGTATATATATGTACATATATAGTCCACCGATTCGCCATGCTCCGACATATATACTAGTAAAATTATATAGTGGAATAACTCCATAGTTTCATTCAAATAGCTTGCTCTTAAATATGTTTCAAAACAAATCTCGCCCATGTTTATGATTCCCAACGGGTTCTCACATCCCCGGAACGAAGTGACTGCTGGCGGCCGAGTATCAGCAAAGTGTTGTGATACAAAAGTTGCAAGTCATTGTTTACAAGTGTTCAAAGTTAGTAACTGATTATACATACTTACTGGGCATAGATACTTACTAGCCATAGATCCTTACTGATCATATTTACTTACTTGTCATAGATACTTAGCATTCAGAGTTACTCAATGCTCAGAGTTACTTACTGGTCATAGTTAATTACTGGTCATAGTTAATTACTGGTCATAGTTAATTACTTGTCATAGATACTTACTGTTTAGAGTTACTTAATGCTCAGAGTTACTCACTGCTTATAGTTAATTAGTGAGCATAGTTAATTACTTATCATATTTCTATAAATCGTCTGATTGTTCCTATGTCAGCTATATATACATATGTAAATATATAGTCCACCGATTCGCCATGCTCCGACTTATATACTGGTAAAATTATATAGTGGAATAACTCAATAGTTTCATTCAAATAGCTTAAATTAGTTCCACAAGAAATCTCGCACATCTGTGCATATGATTCCCAACTAGTTCTAACCTCCCCGGAACGAAGTGGCTCTTACCAGCCAAGTCTCGGATATGTGTTGTGTTTCAAAAGTTGCAAGTCATTGTTTATTAGTGTTCAAAGTTAGTAACTGATCATACATACATACATACTTACTGGTCATAGATGTTTACTGATCATAGTTACTCACTGGTCATAGATACTTAGTGTTCATTGATACTTACTGATCATAGTTACTTATTGAACATACATAGTTACTTAGTGTTTAGAGTTACTTGATGCTCATAGTTAATTACTGGTCATAGCTAATTACTGATCTCAGTTCTATAAATCATCCGATCGTTCCTATGGCAGCTTTATATATGTACATATATAGTCCACCGATTCGCCATGGTCCGACTTATATACTAGTAAAATTATATAGACGAATAACTCCATAGTTTCATTCAAATAGCTTGCTCTTTTGTTCCAAAACAAATGTCGCACATCTGTGCATATGATTCCCAACGGGTTCTCACATCCCCGGAACGAAGTGACTGCTACCGGCCAAGTCTTAGAAATGTGTTGTGATACAAAAGTTGCAAGTCATTGTTTATTTGTGTTCAAAGTTAATTAGTGTCGAAGGTAACCTACTGATCAAAGTTAATTACTGATCATAGTTAATAAGTGTTCAGAGTTACTTAATTTGCATTGATACTTCCTGGTCAAAGGTACTTTCTAAAGAGACTTACTGATGAAAGATACTTCTGATTATAGATACTTACTGGGCATAGATACTTACTGATCATAGATATTTACTTGTCATAGATACCTAGTATTTAGAGTTACTCACTGCTTATAGTTAATTAGTGATCATAGTTAATTACTGGTCATAGTTAATTACTGATCATATTTCTATAAATCGTCTGATTGTTCCTATGTCAGCTATATATAGTCCACCGATTCGGCATGCTCCGACTTATATACAAGTAAAATTGTATAGAAGATCAATTGCATAGTTTCATTCAAATAGCTTGCTCTTAAATTTGCTCCAAAACAAATCTCGCACATCTGTGCATATGATTCTCAACTGGTTCTGGCATCCCCGGAACGAAGTGACTGCTGGCGGCCGAGTATCAGCAAAGTGTTGTGATACAAAAGTTGCAAGTCATTGTTTACAAGTGTTCAAAGTTAGTAACTGATTATACATACTTACTGGGCATAGATACTTACTAGCCATAGATCCTTACTGATCATATTTACTTACTTGTCATAGATACTTAGCATTCAGAGTTACTCAATGCTCAGAGTTACTTACTGGTCATAGTTAATTACTGGTCATAGTTAATTACTGGTCATAGTTAATTACTTGTCATAGATACTTACTGTTTAGAGTTACTTAATGCTCAGAGTTACTCACTGCTTATAGTTAATTAGTGAGCATAGTTAATTACTTATCATATTTCTATAAATCGTCTGATTGTTCCTATGTCAGCTATATATACATATGTAAATATATAGTCCACCGATTCGCCATGCTCCGACTTATATACTGGTAAAATTATATAGTGGAATAACTCAATAGTTTCATTCAAATAGCTTAAATTAGTTCCACAAGAAATCTCGCACATCTGTGCATATGATTCCCAACTAGTTCTAACCTCCCCGGAACGAAGTGGCTCTTACCAGCCAAGTCTCGGATATGTGTTGTGTTTCAAAAGTTGCAAGTCATTGTTTATTAGTGTTCAAAGTTAGTAACTGATCATACATACATACATACTTACTGGTCATAGATGTTTACTGATCATAGTTACTCACTGGTCATAGATACTTAGTGTTCATTGATACTTACTGATCATAGTTACTTATTGAACATACATAGTTACTTAGTGTTCAGAGTTACTTGATGCTCATAGTTAATTACTGGTCATAGCTAATTACTGATCTCAGTTCTATAAATCATCCGATCGTTCCTATGGCAGCTTTATATATGTACATATATAGTCCACCGATTCGCCATGGTCCGACTTATATACTAGTAAAATTATATAGACGAATAACTCCATAGTTTCATTCAAATAGCTTGCTCTTTTGTTCCAAAACAAATGTCGCACATCTGTGCATATGATTCCCAACGGGTTCTCACATCCCCGGAACGAAGTGACTGCTACCGGCCAAGTCTTAGAAATGTGTTGTGATACAAAAGTTGCAAGTCATTGTTTATTTGTGTTCAAAGTTAATTAGTGTCGAAGGTAACCTACTGATCAAAGTTAATTACTGATCATAGTTAATAAGTGTTCAGAGTTACTTAATTTGCATTGATACTTCCTGGTCAAAGGTACTTTCTAAAGAGACTTACTGATGAAAGATACTTCTGATTATAGATACTTACTGGGCATAGATACTTACTGATCATAGATATTTACTTGTCATAGATACCTAGTATTTAGAGTTACTCACTGCTTATAGTTAATTAGTGATCATAGTTAATTACTGGTCATAGTTAATTACTGATCATATTTCTATAAATCGTCTGATTGTTCCTATGTCAGCTATATATAGTCCACCGATTCGGCATGCTCCGACTTATATACAAGTAAAATTGTATAGAAGATCAATTGCATAGTTTCATTCAAATAGCTTGCTCTTAAATTTGCTCCAAAACAAATCTCGCACATCTGTGCATATGATTCTCAACTGGTTCTGGCATCCCCGGAACGAAGTGACTGCTGCCGACCAAGTATCAGCAAAGTGTTGTGATACAAAAGTTGCAAGTCATTGTTTATTTGTGTTCAAAGTTAATTAGTGTCGAAGGTAACCTACTGATCAAAGTTAATTACTGATCATAGTTAATAAGTGTTCAGAGTTACTTAATTTGCATTGATACTTCCTGGTCAAAGGTACTTTCTAAAGAGACTTACTGATGAAAGATACTTTTGATTATAGATACTTACTGTTCAGAGTTAATTACTGATCAGAGTTACTCACTGGTCATAGATACTTACTGTTCAGAGTAACGTAATGTTCATAGAAACTTACTGAGCGTAGTCATAGTTATTTACTGATCATAGTTCTATAAATCGTCCGATTGTTCCTATGGCAGCTATATATATGTATATATATATAGTCCACCGATTCGGCACGCCCGATTTATATACCAGTAAAATTATATAGAAGAAAAACTCCATAGTTTCATTCAAATAACTTAAATTTGTTCCAAAACAAATCTCGTACATCTGTACTTATGATTCCCAACTGGTTCAAACATCCCCGGAACAAAGTGTCTTCTACCAGCCAAGTCTTGGATACGTGTTGTGTTACAAAAGTTGCAAGTCATTGTTTACAAGTGTCCAAAGTTAGTAACTGATCATAAATATTTACTGGTCGTAGATACTCACTGTTCAGAGTTAATTAATGCTAATAGCTACTTACTGATTTTAGATACTTACTATTCAGAGTTACTTACTGCTCATAGATACTTACTAGTGATAGATACTTACTGTTCGGTGTAACTTACTGTTGAAAGATACTTACTGATCTTTTACATTTAACAACCGTTGCAAACTTCTGACTGAAATTATAATACCCTATAAGCGTATAAATATAGTCTTGCACTTGACTAAAAGAAAACTAATTCCCTCTTCGATTCTGATTTAATCGCTTCGAAAAAGTCGAATTATTCAGTTAAGATTAGATGCTATCGTTAATCGTAAATTGTGGCTTGTTTTTAAATATCCGAAAGGTTAAAGGATTTGAGTACTTCTAGGCAAAGAAAACTTTGCTAAAAGGTCCTTTGAGTGCCCATGGACTAGATCAGTATCATCCTCTCGGCATGATCGATCTTCCTTTGGTTCGCAGTATCCTGCTGCTTTGCTGCAACTCCAACTAGGTCGCCTCCAGGCGCTTCATCCTCCCAAGAGGAGAGGCAACTTACCTTCCAGCGATTTTTGGACACGCTGCATCCGCAGGATTCCCTGCTTCCCATCGTTCCTTCCCCCACTAAATCAGACCGGGGGAATTTTTGCACTTTTTGGGTCATTTTTTATTCGATAGAGTTATAGCTTATAGGGTTCGGTCGTTAATCGTTATTAATTAGGTAATTATTTAATTTAATTATGTTTAAAGTGATGTTGTCTGTTTACATTGCATTGGGGGATTGTATATATATAATTAATTAATTAATTTGTAATCTCTGCTCTCTCGTTTTTCGTTAAATATTCGGTTATTGCAAACTCTCGCATATATATATTTATATATATATAGTAGATATAATGCTATAATGCTTAGACATATGTATATGTATATTACGATATTATATCTATGAGTATCCAGCCCAGAATTGAACTATTTATAGAGCCACAAAAAAAAAGTTATTAGAAACAAAAACATCACTCACACTCACAAAAAAAAAAGGGGGAATACATTTACGGAGTCAAGAGTTAATTTTAATTAATAGATATTTCCTACGCGAAGACTAGACTGATTGATCGCTTTTTACAGAGTACGCTCTCTCTCTTCCTCTCGTTTCCTCTCATGACTAGAGAGTCGGGTTATCCTTTAGCCCGGACTCGGGGAGAGTTGTTGCTTTATTGCCCAGGGAGTACAGCCATTTCACTCGCTCAGTCCCGGCGAGATCATGCCGTCTATGGGCTCCAGCTATTGTTCCATTATAATCGTATCCTCGGTCTTGACATTCCCGGAATTAATGGCCTCCATGGCCTTGCTCAGGAGCGTGGCATCCTTCAGGCTAACCACCTGCACTAGCTGCGGCTCCTGACCGGGACCGCCTTGGATCATCATTTGATGCATTCCCGGTGACATGGTTATGGTCTCCAGTTGATCGCCATTCTCCACCTGGGAATATGAAAGAAATTGTTGTGATTAAAAAGGGTTGCTTTTGGGGAATTAAAACTAATCCTTTCACTACTCGCTTAGCATTTGGTTTGTCCCTGAACACTAGCATCATTCCATTAGCTGGAAGTAAATAAATTATAATCAAATCAAATTAAATATAAATAATATTAAATATGAAATAATTATAGCAATACTTACTCTCGTGAGCTAAATAATTAAATAAAGTAAAAGGACATCTATTACTTACATCTTGAGCTTTGAAAGAAGATTAAAACTCAAATTCAAATCATAATCAAATCACAACAACAAAAGGTTTTATTCAATAAAATTTGTTGGCTTTCGCTCTCTCGCTCTTAAAACATAAAATTTGGTCTAGAACAACGTAAAAAGTAATTTCAATAATACATAATATATATAATAATAATAATAATAATAAAATAAAACATGTAAACACAATATTAATAATGATAATAATAGTATAGGGGGCATGGGGTGTAGGGGGGTGGGGTGGTATAAACACAATAGCAATTATAACATACAAATGTTTGCATTTCTTCTTCAAGCACACCCAAGCTTAAGACTAAGACCAACACTAACGACTAAGGATGCGACTAAAGGCTAAATGGCTTAGACTAGGGCTAAGCTACTATGGGCATTCTCAATGCTAAATTGACTACTTTTGTGGGTTGGGTTCTTTAAAAATTCACAAATTGCACCAAAAGTCTAATCCCTGTGCTGAGAAATAAAACAAAACTTAATTCTGACTACGTACGGTTAATATTTGGTTTGTGTTGCCGCTGCTAGATCCTCTACTAACTAGTTAATACTAAACACTAGCTAAAAGTTAAACAATTGCATTTCCTATGCTTTTAGGAACAAAATTATACATGATTTCTTCTCATTTGTTTTTTATGTTTTTGTTTTCATGATTTTTTTGATTTTTTGGTTTCAATTATCAACAAATTGGTTTCGATTTGGTGTGGATTCTTGTCTCCCTTAAATTCTTCTTCACATTTAGTTACTATTCTCTCTGTTAAACCTTCTTTTTGGCATTCATTCTAAGCTTAAAATGGCAAGTGCGCTTCCTTTTTTTGTATTATTATTATTATTATTCCCTTTCTGCTATATATTCTTCCCTCTTGACTAGATTCGAGATGTGGCTTCTTTTTTTTTTTGGGGTGGGAGAGATCTACTACTCCAGGTGCTCCTGCTTGATGCTCTTGGCGGGCAGCTGCAGTTGCACATTGATCAAACTATCGCTATTTACGCAACGTATGGAGGCTGAGGTGGAGGAGCCAGATGCCTCACTGGCTGTGCTTTTGGCCTTACTCTTGCCCAGCTTCCTGCGCTTTTGTACCATCAACAAGCCAGCTCCTTCGGCCTCGCCTGCAGCCATCCTGCGAGAGGATCTTGTGCTGGGCGCAGGCTGAGGAGTGGCAGGGGTGGCCAGCACAATGGGCAAAGGCATCTTAATGCTACTATTATTATTGTTGTTATTATTATTATTGTTTGTGAGGCTGCTATTATTATTACTGCTATTATTATTAGTAGTAGTACTAGGAGAGCTGGTGGAGCTAGCCGCTGCCAGGTAGTAACGCCCCCCCGTAGTGGCCGCCGGCTGGTTACGGCGGCTCAAAACCGCTGCAGTGCCGGCACTGATTAGCGAATAACACTGTACGCCGCCAGTTAATCCTCCCGAGGAGGAGGACGGACTGGCGGCCACAGTTGTGCCACGCGTGGCTGTGGTATCTACCTGCATGGGGGCCAGGCACACGGTGCCATCGCTATTCGTCTGAATCGTCTGCATATTGGCCATTACCGATTGGTACATGGAGACGGGCACCGAGATCACATTGCTGACCGATACGGGATAGCCTGAAAGGGTTAAAGAAATTGCATTTAGGATTCTCATTCTCATTCTTTATAATCTCGCACTCTCTTACCTTGACCATCTTCGGTGGTGATGAATATCTGGCCATCCTGCGTCTCGGTGAGATCCACAGTCATATTCTCATGGCCATTGACATCGGTGAGACTCTGTACGGTCTGAATGGTGGCACCGCCTTCGCCCTGATGAAGCTATAATTAATTATACAATTTATTAGATTAATTTTCCAATTTAATTAAGAGAGAGAGAAAGAGACTTACCGTGGCAACACCCTGCACCTGAGCGGTGGTTCCATCCGGCAGCGTAATTATTGGATTATTGGGATCCACCTGGATCAGGGATACGGTGCCATCGGCATTCTGTGAGAGCACCGTTTGCGTGGTGTACTGTTGGTAGATTTTGAATTAATTAATATTTTGAATGATAAATTGAATTGATATTGAGGGAAAACGCAAGAATAGGGAATAGGGAGGCAATAAATAGGGGAGCTACAAATATTACAACATAAATCCAAGCAGAAATCATATACAAATATTTTAATGAACTTAAACAAACAAAATTAGTAAATTCTCTTCTTTTTTTTGTGGTTCGTTGTTTATTTTTTTTTGTGTGCGTTTTTAAAGCGTATTTACATGTGAAGACGAGTGTTTTTTGTGCGGGATGTGGATGCAAATAATGATGAGTAAACCAATAATTCGACGAGTTGCACTTGCACAACAACAATAACAATCAGCTGAAATAGACATAAAAAAATATAAGGCATACAAAAAAAATATATAACAAAAAAGGTGGAAAGTAAAATTCAAGTCTTAAATTATATAAAGCATAAGGTACATTTTTGCGGTTACTTAAAATATATATAAGTGTAGTAACAATAATAAGGGCAACACAATAACATCTAGAATTTTTAAAAACCAAAATTTGAGCCAACACAAAAATGCGGCAAAAGAAAAACAGGATATAGAAGAGAGCGGGAGGGATAGAGAGAGATAGGCAGCGAGTATAGAATTGTCGACTATGCACAAAGGATTCGCTAGAAAACTCACTTCTAAAGCCCTGCTTAGTCCCTAATTTCCTTTTACAATTTATCTTAGCCCATAAAAGCCTAAAATACTTTCTTTAGGTTCTAAAAAAGGGCTTGAGCTACAAAAAAATACATCATTTAAGATGTATAACGCTTACAATAATTATTCTTTAAACATTTCCCATACTTTTTAGTTCTTCTTTGACCCGATATAGCTAGATCGATTCAGCTGTTATTGCTGATCAAGAATATATATGATTTATAGGGTCGGAAATGATTCCTTGACTGTGTTTCAAGCTTCTTGACTACCCTGCAAGGGTATACAAATCAATATAAGAAGGATACATAAGGCGTACAATAACTTTCTGCTAGCAAGGAAGTACAAAAATGAAATGTCCTTATGCATCTTTCTTATTATTATACCCCTGCAGGCTATTATAATGTCATTTACAAAGCTGCAAGGCAGTGAAGGACTGATTTCTGATCCTATTAATCATATATATATACTTTTTGATCAATCTAGCCACGTTCCCCATGTAATATTCCCATTACTCTTGAGTTTAAAGACATCCTTTTCATAATATTATTGTAAATCTATAAATATATAGTAGAAAGGCAGCCAACTTTTGGCAGGACCCCCTTATAGACCCGAAAACGAAGCGAATACCTAGTGCATAGTACGACAAATAATCCCTGCCCCAATCCCCATTCCCATCCCAATCCCAATCCAGGCTCGATTAGTGGCAACTCAAGGGGCAGTTCAGTCGGATTAGTACGAACATCAACGTCGCTCAGCGTTATGGGCTCGATGCAAACTTGGGCGTTGGCTATCTGCTGGGCAGTGACCGTCTGCTGGGCATTCGATTGGGCGGCGGCTGCTTGCGCGGCGGCTGCCGCTGCCGCTTGTGCGGCACTTACGGCAGCAGCTGTCGTTGGCACCGCTGTGGCCGTGGCAGTGCCACTGGCCGTGGTCAGCTGAATGGTCTGCGGTTGACCACCGCTCACCGGTTGTATGTGAACGGTGCTTGGAACGCTGGTCTGATGATGGTGCTGCTGCTGCTGGTGATGTTGCTGCTGGTGATGTTGCTGCTGCTGCTGGTGATGATGCTGCTGCTGCTGTTGCTGCTGCTGCTGCGGTGCAGGCGCCTGGCATATCTCAATCTTTGTGGAGGCGGGCAACGTGGCCGTTGTGGTCACATGCTGGTTGTTGGTACTCTGGATGATCGTCGGAGCGGGCGTATTGCTCTGGGCCGTATGCGTGGTGATCACGGTGCCGGCGCTGTTGATCTTCACCACATTCACCTGCTGCGGTTGCTGTATGTGATGATTTGATGTAGATTTTTTTTGTCATGTGAATTAGTTGCTGCTGATAAATGCTTTGCTTCCGTGTGATGATATAGAAGTGCCCGGTTTAGTTTAGTGAGTGCAGAATTAGTAATTAGGTATGAAATATGGGGGCGGGTTTTGGTTAGTTTATCCCAAAATGTGGACACAAAAAATGTAGGACAAAAGAATGCTTTATAGTCCAGGTTATACCGACTATATGTTTTCATTGCTAATTATGCATTATTTAGGGGTTTCATCCCATCTCTAGACCATTCACACACACACATCTCTCTTTTGTACCCTTGAGCATGCATTCTTTCACTTATCCCCCAATTTACATGTTCAAAATCCCTTCCTCTAACGCACACACACCTCTTCTGGTTGGAAAACCCCTTTCCTTAACCATACCCCCGACCCAATATTGTTCAAAACTCACATTGCTATTGCCTGTCGGTGGCGTCATGGTGGTCACCGTGTGTATGGTGGGCGGATTGGACAGCTCCATATCCTCATCCTCGTCGCCCGACTGTGAAATGAGAGCATTGACCTTGTCCTCGTCATCGGCAAAGGTGGGCAGCAGATCCTCCCTGCCATGGTACTTGTAGCAGTTGATCACAATCTTTCGCAGGGCATGCGTCCAGCTGATCTGTAGGTGGAACAAAAAGAGAAAGAGGGAGAATTAGTACATTTCGGGAGAGATTTGGGGGGCGGTTATTGCAACACCCACCCCACCCACCTTCTGCTTGTCGTCCTCGGAGCGTGCATCCATCCGTACATTGGCCCACGGCAGCTCCTTGGGCCACCAGGGCGGACGGGTCGACTCACGGCCCCAGCCGGGCTTCCCCTGCCGGTGGAGTACTTGAGCATCAGCGGGATGAAGGCGCGCAGCTGTGCCTGCGTCATCTTCTCCACGGGCGTGGGTATGCCATCGATAACCAGGCCTGGCAATTCGAAGAGCGACGGATCATCCTGCGGCGGTGGTGGCGCCTGCTGTGCCAGCGCATTATCCAGTTCATCCATAACGATATTCTTTAGATTCCTCAGCACATCCTCCAGCGGCTTGGCCCCGAAGACCTTGTAGCTGGTATTGGGCTTCCCGGGCGTAGCCACCAGCACCACAGCCTGCTTGCCCACCCGGCCGGTGAATTCGTAGATAATGCCACGGAGCTTGCGAAGCAACCGATTCTGTTGCCTCTTTCGGACCGAGGGATTTGTTTCGAAGCAATGCGGCCTCTTGCGCTTCTTGGAGCTGGCTATGGCTGCCGCAGCGGCCACACCCACCGGTCCAGCGGCGGCCAGCTGATGGGCCACATCATCGTTGACGGGTATGGAGCCGAGATCACCCTCATACAGGCTCCCATCGCTGCTGATTAGATCCTCATCATCGTCATCGGAGCCCAGACTTTGGATGTCCTCGTCCAGCATCTCGATCTTGTAGGTGGTGCCGTTACTCTGGGAACTATTGCCGCCACTCTGCACCTGATTACTGCCACCACCTCCGCCGCCTCCTCCACCGGTCGTCGTGATGGTGGTCACGTTGAGGCCACCGGTGGCGCTGCCCGAGCTGCTGCTACCCGCATTGCCACTCGAATTGCTGCCCGAGGAGGCATTGTTGGTGGTGGTGGTGGTGACCACCACATTGCCCGCCGTTCCACGCTGGCTGCCCGCCGGCGCTACGACGAGCCTATAGCTTGTGGTGGCCAGTTTATCGGCTGTCTGTCGCCTCGGCCACTCGGTCAGGAGAGAGAGAGAGAGAGCTGAGATAGAGAGCGAGCTGAGCGGATCGCCTTCAGTCCCCTTACTGGCGCTGGGCGGGCGGCGGTCCTATTCGCATGCGCAGTGTGATAAGAAGCTGTTGGTGGAGAGGGAAAGAGAAGGGGAGGCGAGGCATGCCAGGCATTAGTTTGAAATTCATTTCTCAGTGTACTCAAGTGTTTGTTTGCTTGTTTCCCCCTCCCACCCCCACCCCCAGACCACTGATAGCAAACTAATTATACGCCACAGCGGCAAGAATAACAAATGGAGGCAATTGGACACTAAATGTACCCATTAGCTACGATTCAAGTGAACTCCACTCATTTGTTTTTCCGAGACGGAGGTGTTTCGAATGCTGCAACTCAAATTATGGGATCATATTCTTTGAAGCTATATTTTTCTATGATAATCTTCTCGACAAATTAAAGCTTTCAAAAACTCATAACTAAGCTAAAAAAGCATTAATATTAATTCGGAAAACTGTTCTGTGTTAGTTTTTGCTAGGTTAATAAATCTACATACTCAATTTAAAAAATTTTAAAATTGAAATTTTTATCAATTTTTTTTCTAAAATTTGGAAAAAATTGTAAAAAAAATTTGTATCTTTACTACATGCATAGAAAAATTCGCCTTTTTATGCTGATCAAGAATATATATAGTTTATAGGGTCGGAAATGATTCCTTCACTGTATTTTAAGTTTCTGACTAAAATTAAAATACCGTTTTTTAGTCGATATTTCGAAATTTTTAAATGACAATTTTTCAACAAATCAATGTTTAAAAAACTCACTACTAAGCTAAAAATGCATTTATTTCGATTCGGAAAGCTGTTCTGTTCTAGTTTTTAATAGGTTAATAAATCTGCATACTCAAATTACATTTTTAGGCTATTTCAATTTTCGTCAATTTTTCAGAATGTTAATGATGTAAAATCGGCTTAAAAAAATATTGAAAATTTTTTTCAAAATTTGTTTCTCTTCTTTATGCATAGAAAAATTCGCCTGTTTATGCTGATCAAGAATATATATAGTTTATAGGGTCGGAAATGATTCCTTCACTGTATTTTAAGCTTCTGACTAATTTGTAAATAACATTTTTTAACCGATATTTATCAATATTTTATATGAAAATTGTTGGGAAAACCCACAGTTTAAAAAACTCATATCATAGCCAAAATTAATTCGGAAAGCTGTCCTTTTGATGGTTAATAATTCTGCATACTCAATTAAAAAATGTAAAAAATAAATTCAAATTTAAATAAATTTTTGATCATTTTAACGATGAATAAAATTTTTAAAAATATATATAGTTTATAGGGTCGCAAATGACTCCATCATATTATTACTTTGGACTAAATTTATATACCCTGAAAGGATATAAAAATCCTGAAAAAAAAAAACAGAGCGTATAACCCCCTAAAGTAGTTTTTTTTTCTCATTAAATAATGTCCAACAAAGTTTTCCCAAAAATAAATCTTATACTCTACTATACAAGCAATATACCCCCATTGTATTACAGGGTATCTGTGACTCGCTACAGAACTTGGATCGTTCTTGTTTTTCTTTTTTTTTTCAAACTGATAAGGGCAAGTGAATCAGGTCAAAAGCGCGCATGCGCAACACCACAACAACAACAAGAAGAACGGCAATAACAACAACAGCTGTGACAACTACAATAATAGAAGCACAAAGCGAACAATTTAGTGTTTTATAACACAGCACAATATATGTACATATAGTAGTGTATATAAACACGCCATATATATACATATATATATATTTATATATGCACAACTGTTTGTAATTCGAGCGGGCGTCCCACAGTCGCAGATTAGCGGCGACGTTATAGGGTTCGGATCGTATTGGATCGGTGGGGATCCATTTAAAAGGTTCAGGCAACGATAAACCTGAGCCGTACCAATGTATATACATAAATATGTATATGTACATATATAGGGGTGCAAGGTACTTGGACAGGGCGGTGTGTATATAGCACAGGTAGCTCAATTCAATGAAGGAAAAATAAAAAAAAAGTGGAAGGAGACTTTTCAGTTGATAAAGCTCAATAGTGACCCTGAGAGACATGATCCAAAACATATGGAGCGTTACCTCTTCTTTTTTATTCTTTTCTCTAAAGCTTCTGAAGTATCTTTACTTTGAAATCTGCACTTTGAAGAGCTCTTTGGATGTTGAATTCTTCTCTGAAGAAAGGTCTTTGAAAGGACTAGAAGAATTAGTAGAATACTTATTTCGTACAGAAAATATCTATTTTTTCTCACTCTGTAGAAGCTGTTATTCAATATTTTTCCCTTGAAAATTGTTAAGGATCTTTTAAAGTTAAATTCTCCTCTAAAGGAAGCCTTTGATAAGACAAAAATAATCGGGGAAAAACACATTTATAAAGAAAATATTATTATTTCTTGTCTTCCCTTCCTTTCTCCCCTTTCTCTCTCTCTTTCTGGCTTTCTTTTCTCCTCTCTCTTAGACTGCTGCACTTTAAAGGCTAACAAAGCTCTGGTGAAATTGAATTCTTCTCTGAAGAAGAAAACCACCCTCATGGTTAAAAAACAGGCTAGAAGAATTAGCAGAATGTATAGATTATAAAGAAAATATCTTTGCATCTATTCTTCTAAGCTCCTGAAGTATCTCTTCTACGATATCTGCACATTCAAGGTTTACAAAACTATAATAAAAATTTAAAGAACTGGGAATAAAGAATTAGGTCTTAAATAAGACTAGAAGAATCGGAAAATATTCTATATAGATTATATTTTGATCACAACATTCTCTCAGAGAGTGAAAAAGAGAGAGCACTTTGAGTGCATTCTCTATTCTTCTCAATGAGGGGAGAACCTTCTCCAGTGCGCAGAATCTCCAAGCATCTTCTCTCTCTTGGTTCTCTCTCTGCGCCCATGGCATATGGTCCTCTCTTGGGGGGCCGCCGTTGCACGTGCGCACTGATAAAGTTGCAAATATTTTTCTACTCACTAAGCAATATCTGTTTGACTTACACAAAGTGAAGAAGTCGTAAATGTTTAAAAGGTGTGTTGTTTCTTTTTGATTTATTTCTGCTTGTCTCGGCGATTTATGATACTTGTTTGTTATTATATTCGTAATATAATTACTATTTTGTTTTTAAACACACACACACACACATTCAGTTTTCGGCACAGAAAATAAAATAAAGTAATATTTATACTGCTTTCTTGGTTCGAAGAGAGTTCCGGAATTGAAAATTTAAGTTCCCGGGAGCCGAGCAAATCGAACGAACCACACCGCACCGCTTGTTGTGGCTCTCTGAGTTTTGGAAGTGGACGTCGCTGTGGCTGTGGTTGTGTGTGTTTGTGGCTCTGTGGTGCCTTTTCTCTGTGCGCTCGCTCAAGTTCTATTTGCGTTTGCTCAGAAACTCGGAAAGCAACGACGGCAACGCAGCGGCGACGACGACGATGAGCTGCCAGAACGAGACTGCGCCGCCAGTGGGTGAGAGTGAGAGAGGGAGAGAGAGAGAGCGAAGAGAGGGGGCGAGAAAACCACCCCATGGAGTGATTGCGACAAAGCAGCAACGTCGACGCAGTGAAAAATCAATACTGCGCCCATGCGTCGACTTTGCGCTGTCTCTCTCCCTCTCTCTTTCTATATCTGTCCCTGTCACTTTCGCCCCCTGGATGTGTGTGTGTGTGTTTGTTTGTGTATTTAAATTTTCCTAGCAAAACCCTTGGGGAAAAAAATGCTTTGTAAGCTCTAAATAAGGCAGAGACTACACTGGTGGCCCAAAAGCAAGGCAACTTAAACAGAGACTGTAATATCTAGAGAGAGAAGAGTGTATACACCCACCCTTAAGGTGGAAAAAATCACCACCCTTAGTGAGTGGCAACAACACAAGACACACACACACATAAACAGGACCGATAACCAACAGCTTTATACCGTGATAGCGCTTTGCTCAATGCTTATTCTGCCTAAAAAAAACCAACCCCCAACCCCCACCCTCTACCCGCCCACTCAACTGCAACCATATGGCCACGCATGCACTGCTTGCTCTCGCTCCCAACCCAACAACAAAAACAACAACAACAACAGCAAAGCTAGTCAGTGTCAGTGTTGGCCACCCCTGGAGAGCGCTCAACACCACCACCACCCCCATACATTTAGGGGTTGTTGTTGTTGTTGTTTCTGTTTGAAAGTAAGCTCGTTTCACTTGCGCGTGCCAAACACGCTGCTGCTGCTGCTGCTGCTGCTGTCAACAACAGTCGCGGTTCGAGAGAATTGAAAAAAACTGGGTTGAAATCTGTATAGAGACTATAGCAACCTGATTTTGTAGGAATCATCCCTTCTTTTGGGTGTTATTAAGGAAGGGGATCTTTCTATTGTTGCCTAGTGACTTTATATATTTTTTGTTTTCATCATTATTATTCAGGGTGGAAGTAACAAACAATCTTTTTATAAAGTAGCTAGCTAACGGGATTCATATGTAGATATTTTAAAGTGAGGGAAAATCAATTAATCCCTGGACTATGCGCATTTGGAAATACAACTACTTGGCATGCGTACTTATTTGCATGGCCACCAGTGTGTTGTATCTCTCTTTTTTTTTTTTTTGTTTTCTTTGCGGGGTTGCGTGCGCAGCACTGCGCCAAGTGCCCCGAGATGCATGCTATAAGCTTGTGTCAAGGCAACTCACGCAGATACACACACATACACATACAGCTTTCGAGGCGAAAGCCAAGAAATTATAAGGGAAACTAAATAAATAATATTATATTAATAATATTAGGGATACAATTGGAGTCTGTCTGATTGGAGAATATGTATTTATGAGCTGTTTTTATTTAGAGATTGTTCAATTATTTATTTATTTAAAAGTTCCTCCCATAAATAAAAAAATTTCCCAATTTAAATTCGAATGGTACCGTTATTGCTATCACTAGCACTGCTTTTCCTCTTTTTTTTTTTGTACGAAAAATGATATTTTGTCAGTGATCTATCTATTTTAAGAAGCACACAGAAACACAAAAACAGAGAGAGAGAAAGAAAAAGAGAGTGAGAGAAGAGCATAGCATTTGAAAAAGCTTAGTACAGAGAGAACATCTTTGTGTTCTTTCTTTCACTTGCGGTTTTTTGTGTGAGTGAGACTTAGTGGGTGTGCATGCGCCCACCGCCTGCACTCACTCCCACTGCGTCAGCGCACACACAAACACACGAATAACGCACACATGCGCCCAATGACGCCCACCCTCCTCCCCGTACAATCAGTGGCTGCGACGCATGCTGGAATCGAATCAGAATCAGAATCAAAATCAAAATCCAAACGGTAATGGGGGGAGGGGGGAAAATGGGAAATGTGGGAATCAATGCGACTGGCACAGTGGGCGGGACTGTGATTATCTTGGGTCACATGTACATCTAATTATAGTGTGTGAGAAGCTGTGCAGTTAATTGTAAAAATTAGAAATAATTACAGTACTTTTTTACACCATTAATCAGTTAGTTGTTATAAAAAGCTCAAAATGTAATAATAAATAAAAGCAATGATTTAAACTAAATTATATACTTGAATTGAATATGTAAAATTCAAAATCTCTTTAATTAACTAAAGAATTTCATAGTTATTTATCATAAAAAACCAACTCCGGATGATATTAAATAGAGAGCCCTTGAATTGCACAAAAGAGTTTTGCCTGAAGAATAATGGACCCCACCGTGCGCTTCTTTTGCTCTCGCTTCGTCTCCCCATCTCTTTCTTCTTCTTCTTCCGCTTCCCCCCACTGTCGTTGGCAAATATATAATCAATAGCTATTTTCTATCTCTCGCTCAATTGAGCACAACTGTTCTCGCTCTCTCTCGCTCTCTCTCACTCCCTATACATCTATTAGTGTATTGGTGTGCTCACTGTGCTTGTACTTGGCGCAGAGTCGCCTCGCACAAAAACAATGCAATGTGATAAGGAGCAGAAGAAAACGAAAAGAAAAAGAAAGAAAAATAAGTTACGCATGCGGCGGTGGGTTCTCGTTGTTTTTTTTTTCGTTATTCAGCGGCGACGGCGCAGCAACCACCCACTCACACGCAGATTAAACCAACACACACATACACACACGGCCACGTTTCTGTTCCAATTGGAACTGTACTTGTTTGGGTTTTTAGAAAAATGTACACATTTCGTGAACAAGAAGAACAAGCATCCACCCCCGAAAAAAAATCGCACATACAGTGGTGTCCTGAATTATGGAGACAGGCTCATCTCAACGGATGCTGCTTTTGCTCTCGCTCTCTCTTTTCTATATGTGTATCCATTTTCATCTTTCATCTACAGGGGGTGGTTGCAACCCCCAAAAGAAAACACACACACACACACACACACACTGAGGCCTCAATTTGAACAGAAAATATGCGTGAACTGGAAATGCAACTTGGAACTGGGTGGCGGTGGTGGTGGTGCTCCCAATTGGATTTGATAAGTGTTACGCATACGCCATGTTTGCAGCGACCAACTCAAACCCCCCCTTTTCGCGTTTTTTGCTGCGGCGCATGTTTTAATTACGGACACTCGCAGTTGGATTTTCCTTCAAGGCGCCGCTGTAACGCTGCATGCACACACACACACACACGCACACACATGTCGGATTATCTAATACATACAAAGCAGTAGTGGCGCTAACAAAAAACAACCGTTAGTTTTACCGCTTATTTTCGATTTTCGCCGCTCTCTGATACTTTTGCGCACTCACCTACACACTAATACCGTACATCCATGTGTATATAATACGTATATAGATATATATATATATATATATATATATATGTATATTGGCGACATGCACTCGCTTGCGCGCTAAAGAAAATAGCTGTGAAAAATCGACAGATTTGACTTCACGTCTGCGTCCCGTTTCCCAAACACTCACACTATCGCACATATACATACGCACCTGCGTGTTGTTGTTGTTGCTGCTGCTGGTGCTGCTTCTGCTGTCGTTGTCGTCGCTGCCGCCAGTCTCCTGGATTTTCAGCTCCTTTGTGATAACACGGCGCGCACACCACAAACACACGCACACGTATACGGGCGCGCAACAACAACAAATAGAAAATACCAGTAGTTGTAGGAGGAGGGGACACACACACGCGCCGCCGCTGCTGCTCTGCACTGGGCTGGTATTGGTGTGTATGGCGTACGTGTGTATTGGTGTGTTTGCCCCTGCGTCGTCGCTCCGAATTTTGTGGCGTTTATTTATTATCACACTGCACATGCGAATATTCCGTGCATTTTACATTTGCGCACTGCCGCCGTTGTCGCGCTTTTCCAGCTGCCCGCTAGCACCGCTGGTTGTTATTGCACTTTCCCGTTGCCCGTTTAGCCGCCCCGTTGCAGCGCTTTTTCTCGATTTTTCACGCAATTTTCGCGTTTAATTCCTCCAACGGGGACGTTCTCGGTATTTTTTTTTTGTTCTCATTAGTGCTGTGACAGCAGGCAGGCAGCTGCGATAGGCGGCGGGCGGTCGCATATCGATGTATCGATATGCAGCTGCGGGGGCGGATGACTGCTTTCAAGTGTGCTTAGGGCAGCGTTCTTGCAGGAATTTAATTAAATTTATTGATATGATTTATTTGAATTGTGTTTTCTGTTTGATTTTCTTGTAGTTTTCCATAATTTTTAATGTTTCCTTTTGTTTTGCTAAGTGTTTAGTGTCGCCCTCTGTCGGGATTTTTGCGAAGGTAAGCCGATTAATCGGTTGGACTAGGGCGATTATATAGAGTTGCCAGAAGGTTTGCATTTTGGGCGGGCAGACATTTGAAATTTGAATTTGATTTTTGTAAGAAATAACATATAAATGATAAAAAGAATTGCAGAAAACGAGAAAAAAAATAAATGTGAAAGTAAAAGGAAAAAACACCCAAAAAAATACAACACAAATAGAAAGCAGTGTAATCACTTTTAATTATGATTGAAACACTTCTTTTTGAATTAAATTTAGAAAAAAAACCTCGAAATTATACTGCTTAGAAATTCGAAAATGTATGATTTTCCCGATTCTATTTCGCACCCTAAGCCATAGTATATCCTTTCCTTTTCTATATCCTTTTCCGTTGAACCTCAATCACACGTAAGCCCTTCACAAGGCAGCTAGCAATATTTATGAAAAGTTAGCTAGGCAGGCCAAATGAAAAACTGACATACAATTAACTACACTACACTACACAGGGCACTTGCTTATCCTTTACACACACACACACACAGAGAAAAAAAATGGAAGAGAACCGCAAAGCGACGACGACTGGAGCCGACTAACTGCCGTCCGCCGGAACGTTGGGGTTTTTAAGTCCGCTCGCGGAACATATATATTTAGGATATATGCAACCGATAGCCGATAAAAGAAGGCAGCTCCGAGTTCTTCGAACACTGATTGCGGCGTGCCCGCATTTCGCAAAAAAAAACCAAAGAATTCCCTCTGATTCTGGGTTATATAAAAAAAGAATTTGTAAAGAAACGATGCCGAAGGAGAAGGCCTTATCGGCAGCCCACATGGCGCGAACGATGTTGGTTTCTGCGGGTACCGGCTTCGGTTCTATTTATCTGAACATATATGTACATATATATATATTTTAATATATATATATATATATATATATATATATATTTGTATATTTATCTCACCGGAACTGGAACCGAGATTTATTCGGTACCAGAATCCCAACGACTGGCACTGATCTTGAACTCTAAGGCCAGCCATCTGTCCCCAAGAGGCTGATGTGGGTCAGTAGAACTTCCGTTTCTTATAGAAAAATCTGAGGAAATGTTGTATAAATTAAATATATCTGTTATTAGCAGGAAAATTAATAGAATTAAGGAAGTTAAAACAAGTTTCTAGTGTGCAAAATAATTGAGATTAATTGAGTTGTTGTTTAAACTATACTTTTATATTATATATATTTAAGTTTAAGCTCAAATGGAAAAGCAATTCAAGAGAAAGATAAGAAGCTTCTTAGAACGCAATATTAATTCTTTAAATACAGAAAACTGCACAAAACACAGATACAAATATTTAAACAAATTTAAGAATTAAATTCAAGAGAGGTTTAAATGAATTTACAAAAAATTATAAATAACAAGCATTGAATTTAATTTAATTATATTTTATGCATGCATATTTGAACAAGCATTTGAAAAATATATCTATTTAATTATTGATACTTTCCTCTGTATTATATCACATATAACTTTCTTTATTATTGTTTTGCCACTCGCTTCACCTTTTTTTTACACACTGATGTGCCGCCCCCTGGGCCAGCCCGAGCCCAAGGTCACGCCGCTCTTTTCTGTGTGTGTGTGGGAGTGCAGCACTAGCTGGGCTACGTGTGTGTGTGCCTTAGTTTTATGTACTACAAACTACCTATGTATATATATAAATATTTCTATATAGAGATATATATACCTGCCCCTCTATAGTGGGGAAGAGTCTTCCGGGACTCGATATCGTTGCTGCTAAACTCCTCTAGGATTATGCCTGGAGAGCCGGCCGGTTGCAGGAGCTTCAATAATGTTTCCAAAACAAGACAAAACTCCCAGTCGGACTCTGATTCTGATTCTGATGTTTACCTCTGGCTTCGATGGCGGCACATTGCCATCTGTGTACTCCAAGTGTCCTGTCGCTGCATCTGTGGCAGTGGCAAAGGAATGCGCCAAGGAAAGCCCCGGGTGTCCACAAGGAAAAACAGCGGCCGGAGCACGAGACTGTAGTGCTGCAGTATAGTATGGTGTGTGTGTAGTGTGTTTGGTGTGTGTAGTGTGTGTAGTGTGTAGTGCTGTAGTACTACGACTGACACAAACACATGGCTCATACGCAACGTGGTCCCCAAGTGCGCCTGCGTCTATTTTGATGTGAAGAAGACATTGTCCTCTAGGTTTTTGATTTTCTATTTTCTGTTATTGTTTTTTTTTTTGAGCTACGTAAGGATATGCCGGGCTTAGGGGCTTTAAAAAAATAAACTATATTTATTATGTATTTGCAAAATTATAAAAAAAAAACTTCAATATATTATTGGTAGTTAACCCAAAAACTCTATTAAAAACCACAAAAACAATTTGTTTCTATTTAAAAACAATTGTTTTTTTTTAATATTATAAAAGAAAACTAGGCTTTTTTAGGGTAAATCCTTCACTAGTAACCTTTCCATATGATTTTATATCAAAAATAAAAGATAAAGCCAACCAGAATATAATTAAATATTGGAAAGAAAAAAATAAATTCAAGTCTAAATTTATTTTTGTATCGGATCGGTTCGATTTGGTTTGAATCGGTTCGAATCGAATCGGGTTCGAATGTCGAGCCCTCCCTGCACATTTTATGCTCATTTGTTTGGCCTTGGACACCTCGCCTCGTGTCCATCGATTAGTCGAGCCCCATGTCGGGGTCAGGTCCTTCCTCCCAGCTCCTAGGCCACTTGCTGCCACTTTCTAGGCCAAGTACAGGGAGCACTCGACACGGCTATATTTCCTACACTCGCAAACTGATAACACAAACTATAGCTTTGACTGTAGTGTTAGCTTTAAGCTCGATGAGGGGTATAATATTGGGAAGGAATCACGAAACAAGCATAGGAATCTAAGCACTTTTATATCCGGTTTCTGTCTCCTCTTTTTCCTGGTAAAGCTCTCATTTACATTAGCAACTTTTCTGTATGTATTTTAAAAATGTATTCTTTGTAGAAAAATAACATTAATCATTACTAGAATCTACAAGAATATGTTCATAATTATAATCAATATTTAGGAGATTTTTATATGACAATTTCTTCAAAAAAATCAAATTTTAAAATGTCATTACTCAGCCAAAAATGCATTAATTTCAATTCGGAAAGCTGTCCTATGTCAGTTTTTATTAGATTTAAAAATTTGCATACTCAATTTAAAATGGTAAAAAATCCGAATTTTTATCAATTTTTGACAATTTTAACGATGTAACCCCTTATAAAATTTTCAAAATTTTGAAAAAATTAAATTTTTTCCTGACATATCTAGATCGATTCGCCTGTTGATGCTGATCAAGAATATATATAACTTATGGGGTCGGAAATGACTCCTTCACTGTATTTTAAGCTTCTGAATGAAATTATAATACCCTTAAAAGGGTATAACAACTAACAAAAGCAATTCTGTTTTTGACATCTTTTCTTCATTTAATATAAAATCAAAGGCTATAAAAGGCATCATATTCAGAGGAAAATTTCCTGAGAAAGCTTTTCCAGGACCCTGAAGCTTTCAAAGTATTTTGTCCTTGAACAAATGTAAAAGCTGTGCCGCATTGCGTGGGACAAACTTTACCCACAAGAATTTCATGGAAATGGCTTAGTTCAGGAAGTATATGCAGCTTATATTTAAAAGCTTCCTTTTATGTTTTAAAATATATTCAATTTAATTATAATATTCAATATATGATTAAAAATATATTGAATATTTAATGGGGTTTAGTTAAGTTAAAGTATAATTTAACTTGTAAACCTGATACAAATTCGTGTAGTTTTATTTTAACATTTGTAAAACACAGGAAAATGGATTAGTTTAGGAATTTTAGTTAACCCTTCCAATAATTTAAGAAATATACTTTAATGTCATGTAAATAAACCCCACAACAGGGTTGCCTTGGCCTTTACAGTCATAGCCACCATATCCCTTTGTTCTCTAGGTAGAATCTAGAACTAGAATTCAAAAGTATAGAGACAGTATCTAAAATTGAAACAAAAATACAAGTAAACCCAAAAAGATGGATCCACCGTCATTATCCACGTTTGGCAGCATCTCGGCCGAGTGCGAATATTGGAAACTGCGCTCCCAGCAGTACTTTGAGGAGCTAATGGAAGTGAAAAAGGATTACGACGAGTTCATAGAGCAATCCCGTCACATTGAAATCGAAATGGATGCCACTTTGGAGCAGAAGGAGAAGCAAATCGAAGAGTTGATCGCCAAAGCTAACATTTATGAGCGAGAGAAAGAGGTCCTCATGGTAAGGTTGAACTCACAAAACACCGAAATTTCCTATATGGAAAATCAAATCGAAGCTCTCACCAAGAAGTTTGAGGGCATGAAGATGAATCTTCGGATTCTGGAGCAGAACAATGATGACCTGGAGCGGGAACATCGCATTACCAGGGATAGCAAGGAGACCATTGAGAACTCTCTCTTTGAGCAATACGAAAAGAATGCCTTGCTCGAATCGGAAGTGGAGGAGAAGCACGAGCTGGAGGTGGAACTGCAGCGTCTAAAGGATGAGACCAGAGATCTCAAGCAGGAGCTGAATATAAGAGGCATCAAGCTGGTACCATTAGTTAAAAGCCCAGTTAGTTGCAATTGCAACTCCCTGGATACCATAAAAACTGAGCCACTTAAAGCCAATCTCGGGCAGTTTATAGTGACGAAGCAGAGCGAAAGAATTTCCAGGCTGGATGTGAAGTTGGCCAGGAATGTCAAGGTTGTCAATCAGTTTGGTAATGGTGGTGGTGATGACCCTATGGGACCCATACAAACTATGGACCAACTTGAAGGCAGTTCTTTAACTTCAAATCTGCAATTTTTAATTCGAAAGACGGTGAGCGAAATGGTTAGCAAGTTGGAAAATTTGCAACGAAAACTAAGGGCTCACAGGGAGAGAAGGCCATTGCCAAAGGCTTACTAAATGCTATAGTATTCATTTTTATTTTCTATATCTATATATATATTTTTTGCACCTTAAACATTATGTTAAATCTGGAACTGTCCTAGGAATAGCTTCAAGCTAAATCTCCTCCCAATTCAAAAAACGAAACCAGGAACTTCTGCGTTAGATGTGGTGCCAAGTTTCTGGCTGGCAAAACTTGTTTTCGGGCAAGTTTATTGCTTTGCCGTTATTGAAAATGGAAGGACACCCCAAACAATACAGAACACACACCCTAACACACACACACACACAGGCAAAGTAATCTGCATATGCTTATGTGTGCGGACCAGAAGATACAATTTATAAAAACTCTCCCCCCTTCCCCGCGTCTAAAAATGGGAAAAGCAAACAAACAAAAGTTCTCTCTCACATTCCCTTTCTTTGGAAGGGTCCTTTGGAACAATGGAATCATAAACGGAAGCGCCGGAAAACCGGAAATGGAATGCAACAGGAATAAAGAAGAAATGATTTGGATTTACCAAGAACAAAAGGGAAAATTCGATCAGAAAAAAAGGAAGAAAATTGTGCAAAAGAATTTTAGAGATTAGTAAAAGGGAAATTAAAAAGGGATAACTAACTAACTAAAATTTTAATCAAAGGATATTAAAAAAAAAGAGAGAGAACAAATGAAAAATGCATTTTTTTCCATTACTTTTGCTTGGGTTTTAGAGAAGCTATTGGTCTTAAGTGATTTATCGATATAGCTTCGATAAAAATCGATTAAATCAATTGATTTCTGTACAAGATTTTTCTCCCTCTGTATCCTCACGCCTTACTGCACCAAATTTCTATTATTCTTGGCTATTTTTCAGTGAAACCTTGAAGAGAATTCCCAATTCGTGGCATTTTTTCCCCCGTTGACTGTTGATTTTCCCCATTCAGTTTTTCCTTCTCGGTATGGGGGCTTGTGGCACGAACAATAAACAAACAAACAAGCTGCAAAAGTGTCACACATTCATCATATGTTGTAACAGCCTCTCTCAGCCCTGTTCTGTCCTGCCCCGTCCTGCTCTCCCCAGTCACTGGTTACTGTCACTGGTCACCGGTCACCGGTCACTAAGGGTCTTTTTTTTTGCTTCTTCTTATCCTTCTGGTGGTCCTGGCAAAAGCGAGGTTGCTGGAGGACGGCCGCGAGTTGGCCGCTTATTATTCGCACACTGTGCCAAAAAAACGACACTAAAGCGAAGGCAAGCCCTTAAAGTGTGAAAATATAACACAAAAATATATATAAATAAAAATATTAAAATTTGCAAATGTAACGCACAAAAAGAGTTAGTTTTCAAAGGTTTTTCCCCATTCAGATTTTCAGTGTGTCACAGCTTTAAGGGGGGATCGGTGCGGTTGCAAAACTATGGAAAAAGTGCAAAAAGGTCAGTAAATTAATGTGCAAAACGGGCGCTGGATAAACTTTGAATGTTGTTGTTGTTTGTGTGTGTGTGTGTGTGTGTGTGTTTGGGCGTGTGTGTGCGGGTAAAAAGCAGGGAAAAAGCCATGGCAAGGGGCGTTTGCTTTGAGTTACGGCCTCTTCTGTGCGCAAAAGGCACTCTCTCACACAAGTAAACAAACATAGCTCACACATACACACACAAGGACACTCGAAGGAACACACAGACACACTCAGACACACCCACAAGCAAACACACACACACACACACACAGAGCACTTTCATTTAGCTTCGAACACAAACACATTTCAGATTTTACCAAAGGGTTATCGACGGATAAAAAACAAAAATGAGAAAAAATGGAGGTGGAATAAAAAAAAAATATATATATATATATATATAGAGAAAAAATAGCAACCAACACAGGCGCATTTATTTTTCAATTTATGCGCCCAAGGATAATGATAAATTCGTTAGCAGAGCCGCATAAATTTAACTCCCAGCATCCTTCTCCCCAGTGCCGCCCCTCCATTAAATTAGATGTTACATTTTTCAACTAATAAATCAATATGTAAATAATTTATACAAATTGCAAATGTGCGTGGGATGATCGATTACGGCAAGTCACAATTTTGGCAACTGATTATATAGAGGGGTTACCTACACACACATGTCAAGGGGGGAAAATTACTTTCAAATTAGTTTCCCCAGGTGCGTCACAGCTTCAACTCGAAGTGATGAGTCTCAAGTTCTTTCGCCAAAACATTACGACAAATAAAATGATGACTAAAATGTAGAGTTTAGGTTAAAGAACTCCGTTTTGAGTACTCATTAATATCCTATTTTTTAAGTATTCCCAAAAACGTATTCGTTTGAAATATTTAATAAAAATAAGAACTGCTTGGAATTAGTTTTTGATTAATAATTAACACAAATACTTAGTTATCTTCCTTCAGCAAAAATTGTTAAAATATTTAAGGCATACTTAAGTAATACACTCTCCAAAACCCTTTATTAAAATAGTAATACAATATATGATAGTTGAATTTTACACAAGAAAATGAAGTGAAATTTGGAAAGCCAAAGTTTCAATCCCTGCAATTTCGATCATTCATAACTAAGCCAAAAATGGATTAATTTTAAATCGGAAAATAGTTTTATGTCAGTTTTTATTACATTTATAAATCTACATACTCAGTTTAAAATGTTAAAAAATTCAAATTTTTATTACTTTTTAGAAAATTTATACGATTTAACCCCTTATAAAAATTGCAAAATTTTGAAAAAATTAAATATTTATCTGACATAGCTAGAAAGATTCCCCTGTTGATGCTGATCAAGGATTTATAGGGTCGCAAATGAGTCCTTTATAGCGTTAAGCTTCTGACTAAAATGTAATACCCTGCAATGGTATAAAAGAATAATAATTCAGGTCAACAGTGCGTATGCGCAATTAGATAGATGATGGCTATATCACGTATACGCAAGTGTTATCTTTAGTTATTACACACTCGGCTGCTGATGCTAATCAAGAATTATAGGTTCTGAAATGAGTCCTTCATTGGGTTTCTAGATTTTGACTGGAATTAGAATACCATTTTTTTAGGTCGACATATTAATGATGTAACCCCTAATAAAATTTTCAAAATTTAGAAAAATTTTAATTTTTGTCTGACATAGCTAGATCGATTCCCCTTTTGATGCTGATCAAGAATATATATAGGATTTATAGGGTCGGAAATGACTCCTTCACTTCGTTTTGAGCTTGACTAAAATTTAAATACCGTTTTTTTAGTGAATATTTCGATAATTTTATATGACAATTTTTTTAACAAATTAATGTTTAAAAAACTCACTACTAAGCCAAAAATGGATTAATTTTGAATCGGAAAGCTGTTCTGTTCTAGTTTTTTACAGGTTAATAAATCTGCATACTCAAATTACATTTTTAGGCTATTTCAATTTTCGTCGATTTTTCAGAATGTTAATGATGTAAAAAACGGCCTAAAAAATATTGAAAAATATTTTTAAAAATTTGTTTCTCTCCTTTATGCATAGAAAGATTCGTCTGTTTATGCTGATCAAGAATATATATGATTTATAGGGTCGGAAATGACTCCACTGCTTTTTAAGCTTCTGACTGAAATTTTATTACACTGCAAGGAAATGCTAAACTCCATGTTTCTTTCTTGTTGTTGTTTTTATACAAATTCGCAATAATTCTGTTTGTTAAAAACTCTATAAATACTTGACAAATTCCTGTTAGTTGGGAGTTTTTCCAGTGAAATGTAAATTCCCTGGCCAACAATCTATCAACTAACTGAGAGCGACGTGTCCAGTCTGGCTTATATTTGTGTCATGATGGCGGGGAGGAAGAGCTGGGCAGGACCAGGACTTGGAGCAGGAGCAGGACCGGGAGCAGTCTGCAAGGATGCTGGGGCCATAATTTAAACGAAGTTCTAATGGCACCCTAATGAAAACTTCATCGTTTTGTCAGATTCTCGAAAACAATTTGCATAGGGACAAGGACAAGGACAAACAGCCATAAATCATTTAGCACTAAGACCCCCCACTACATCTGTCTCTTTCTCTGACTATCTATCTCTTTCTCTCCTCTCTCCTCTCTCATTTTCTCCATCATTCTCTTCTCTTTGTTGCTATTCCTCTTGTTTTCTGTCTGTCTGTCTGTCTGCCTTCATTGTGCTTTTAATTTCAATTTTAATTTCACACCAAAACTTGAAGCAGACTCTGGCAAAACTCCTTGGTCCTTTGCTTGCTTTTCTGGTTTTCTGGTTTTTCCTTTTCCCTAGTTTTCCCTCTTCCCTCCACCCTCCCCCCCCATTGTTGTTGCAATTTCCCTTTGAAAGTTTTCCCTTGTCCATGTCGTGTTGTGTCGTTCCGATTGCGGTAAATGATAATGAACGCAACTGGTCCATTGTTTGCCAAGGGATTTCATTTCGATTTTTCCACCGCAGGATATACCGAATTTTCCCTCCCCTCCCGTACAGATTTCCCCTTCCTCCACTCCTTTCCAATTAAAGACCCCAAAACTGCGGCAAAGGGTAAAAGTAAAGGTAAAGGTAAAGGTAAATAAAACTCTGTTTTACATTATCTACTCGATAATTAAGAGGGGGGTGAGCAGAATAAATGTAATAAATCCCATTCGCCAAGGGTTCAAAATCAAGGATTTTAAAAATCAAATCAATTAGTACCGAGGTCAAGCTGTGGCAGGAGTTGGAAGATTAAATGTTAGGGTAAAGATTAAAAAAGAATTGGAGGGTAAAAAAATGCAATTAATCCTGTTTAGTTAAAGGCCAGGTATTGTTTTAAAAGTAAACTATCAAGGCCTCTTAGTAAGTTTCCATTACCTCTGCTAATTTTCTAGATTTTTTCTGAAAAGAACTCTTTGTGTATATTGATTACTTAAACTTTATTCAATTAGTATCCTTTAAATAGCTGTTTTGCTCCCCGCAGAGTTAACAAATTCAATTTTAAAGTGGGGTGGATGGCCCAAATCCAAGATTTTGGGCTTAAATCGGAAACGGTGGCGGTCTTAAGTGCGATTAGGCAATTAAATATGAAACGAAACGAAAA